CCCTTACTGGCATGAGGGACGAGAAACCCACCCTGCACCAGTACGGCATCGTCTCAGTGAGTTAGATCAGCAACTACTACATTCCCAGGTGAGGTCACATTGTGAGGTTTGCACTGGGGCTAGAACATTAACATATCTTTTTTCAGGGTTCGGGGGACACAGGTCAATCCATAACACTGCTTGTATGGAGCTTATGGCTTAGGAAGGCGCTATATGGTAAATGTATCATCACACGATTAAATGTGAAAATGTCACTTGCGGTAAATACACTAGAGGTGACAGGAACAGGAAGACATTATAACAGGAAAAACTAAGCAAAGGTTGACAGTGGTCAGGACAAGTTTCTCTGAGCCAGGGACACTCCCACGGAGGGCTGAGGGGACTGTCAGGCCTGGAACTTCCCTGAGCAGAGAGATGACCAGGCTGGGGAGAAATTTGACAAGTGGCACATGAAAGACCCTCCACAAAGGGTGGCAGCTAGTGAACACCTGAGACGAAATAGCCTCTCTTGTGTCACTTGAGTAACCTGATGGCCTCAAACAGTGTGTGTGAGCAGGAAATTCAGTCACTCCGCAGAGTCCATGAAAGAAGGAAGGTCTGTCTTATCATCAGGTTCTCCTGCTACTTAAGTGTTTGTTTTGTTTGGTCTTTCCAAGCACCATGCTGAGTGAGCCAAATTTCGCTTGCAGTCTTTTCCCCTTTGGGATCTGGCGGAGGCCGCCAGGTGTTGTGTCTGACTAGCAAATGTGATCGAGTCACTTCCAGTGTGAGCTGTTTCAGAAAAACGTGTCACATTTACGAGATTTCTGGATTAGTGGGAATCAGTTCAAGGGTACGATTTCAGTCCGTGCTGCTGGAATCGCTGTGAGTTTTCAGCGCGGCACTGAGTGAGCAAACCTCTGAAAGTATGCTTTTATTCTTTCCACACACCCCTCAAAAGTCTCCAAACCCCGGCTATTCTAAAGGGAGTTAAGACTTCCTGAAGCAGTAGACAAAGAATTGAGTGTTATAGCTCCTCCGCCAGGTTCAGGTTACCTCCGACGGCAACTGGGCCACAGTACATTTTCAGGGCTACGTGGGGAGAAGGGGAGGGCCCACCGCCCCTGGAAAGGCTGTGCTGCCGCTGGGTGTGGTGGGAAGTCACCCTCCCTCTTTGGGGACAAAACGTCCCACCCTAAGCCGGATAGTGGCATATCACAGCTCGGCCTCCCAATGTCACCCACTGGCCTCTGTTTCCCATATCATCTGAGGTCAGAGAGGCCCAAGCCCACAGAGGTGACTGCACAGCCTCACAGGAAGCCGAAGCTGTGAGAATAAGGATGTGCTGCCCAGCGCGCGTCCCGGAGGAGCGGTCTGCGCACGGAGCCAGGCTGCGCTCGGGCCCGCGGCCAGGTCTGCCGCAGAGGGCCAGGTGGTGTTGGAGTTGGCCCACCACCTCTCCTCCATCACATTTTCCAGGAAGGGGTGGGCAGGGACGGGTGGTAAGTGGGGACATTGTCAGCAGTGAATGTTGGTGTTTTTGAGAGGGAGCCAAAGCATTGTGTGTTTCAGGGGGGCCTGGCAGGCTGCCTCCACCGAGGGAGACGTGCCTGGCCAGACCCCCACCCTAGCCTGGGGCTGATTGTTTGAACTCTGCAGGGTAGGATGGGCATGGGTGTGAGTCCCACCATGAGGGCCAAACCTTTTTTTTTTTTTTTAATTCCTTCAATCTTTAAGCAAATGAAGCAAAGGCACTGAAGAGTGGGTTTGATGAATTAGAGGTGAGCTTTTAGCACCAGTCTTGCCAATCATTTCCAGGGGTTAGAAGTTGACCTTTGCTCTCTATTGTTCAATGCTTGCTTCTAAGTATCAGCTGAGGCAAGTGGGAATTAATAATGGTTGTCCATACACACACAAAAAATAGGAAAAAGGAAATAAAGAGCCTAGAAATAAGTTTAACCAAGGAGGTGAAAGACCTATACACCAAAAACTGCAAGACTTTAATGAAATAAATAGAAGACACAAATGAGTGAAAAGATATTCTGTGCTTACAGACTGAAAGAATCAACATTGTTAAGATGTCCACACTACCCAAAGCAACCCACAGATTCCATTCAATCCCTATCAAAATTCCTATGGCATATTTCACAGAAATAGGACAGGCAATCCTAAAATTTGTACGTAACCACAAAAGACCCAAACTGCCAAAGCCATCTTGACAAAGATAAACAAAGCAGAAGGCATCATCCTCCCTGATTTCAAAATATACTACAAAGTTATAATAATCAAAAGAATATGGTACAGTCCATATTACAAAATACAGTCCAATGGAGCAGAAAACAGAGCCCAGAAATAAACTCACACTTGTATAGTCAATTTATGACAAAGGGTCTAAGAATATTCAATGGAGGAACAACCAGTCTCTTTGATAAATGGTGTTGGGAAAACTGGATCACTTCCTTACACCACACACAAACTCACAATGAATGAAAGACTTTAATGTAAGACCTGAAACCATAAAACTACTAGAAGAAAACAAGCAAGCTCCTAGACAACAGCCTTGGTGATAATCTTTTGGATTTGACACCAAAAGCAAAGGCAACAGAAGAAAAAATAAGCAACTGGGACTACATCAAACTAGAAACGTCTGCACAGCAAAGAAAACCATCAACAAAATGAGAAGGTAACCTACTAAATGGGAGATGATATTAGCAAATCATATAGCCGATGAGGTATTAATATCCAAAACAGTACACAAAGAACTCATACAACTCAATAGCAAAAACCAAACAATCTGATTTTTAAAATGGGGCAGAAGATCTGAATAGACATTTTTCCAAAGTAGACACAGAGATGGCCAACAGGTACATGAAAAGATGTTCAATATCACTAATCAACAGAGAAATGCACATCAATCATAATAAGATATCACCTCATATCTGTTAGACTTGCTACTATCAAAAGGATAACTGATACAAGAATTTGTGAGGATGTGGAGAAAAGGGAACCCTCATGCACTGTTGGTGGGGATGAGAACTGGTGCAGCCGCTGTGGAAAACAGTATGGACGTTCCTCAAAAAATTAAAAGGAGAACTGCCATATGATCCAGCAATCTCTCTTCTGGGTATTTACCCAAAGAAAATGAAAAAAAACAAGCTCAAAAGATATATATTCTCACACACACATGCACACACACCTCATGTTCATTGCAGCATTATTTATAGCAGCCAAGATGTGAAAACAGCCTGACTGTCCAGCGATGAGTGAGTGAATGGATAAAGACAATGTGGCACACATACACAATGGAATATTATCCAGCTATAAAAAAAGAACAAAACCTTGCCCTGGCTCGTGTAGCTCAGTGGATTCAGCGCGGGCTGCGAACCAAAGTGTCACAGGTTCGATTCCCAGCCAGGGTACATGCCTGGGTTGCAGGCCATGGCCCCCAGCAACCGCACATTGATGTTTCTCTCTCTCTCTCTCTCTCTCTGTCTCCCTCCCTTCCCTCTCTGAAAATAAATAAGTAAAATCTTTAAAAAAAAAGAACAAAACCTTGTCATTTGTGACAACATGGATTGAACTTGAGAGCATTATAGTACATGAAGTAAGCCAGATAGAAAGACAAATACCATATGATCTCACTTATAGGTGGAATCTAAAAACAAACAAACAAACAAACAACCCAAGCTCGCAAATGCAGAAAATACATCAGCGGTGGCTGGGGTCGGGGTGGGGAGACAAACTGGGGGAAGGTCAAAAGGTACAAACTTGCAGTTATAAAATAAGTAAGCCATTGGGGATGTAATGTGCAGCATGGTGGTGATAGTTAATAATACCCTATTGCCTATTTGCAAGTTGCTAGGAAAGCAAACCTTAAGAGTTCTCATCACAAGAAAAGAATAATTTTTGTAACTCTGTGTGGTGGCGGATGCTAACTAGCCTTATGGTGATGGTCACTTCACGGTGTGTACACAAATGTTGAATCGTGATGCGGAACACCTGAAACTCACAGAGTGTGACATGTCCATTTGACTTCAATTTTTAAAAAGAAATTAAAGAAAAATATCGGCTGTGCAGCTGGCAGCCAGGGGAGCATAATCAGGTGTGTGCGTTCACTATTTATAAAAGGCCTTTCCACTGTGGTTAGACTTCTTCCTCATATAACTCTCAATGCCCTAAAATGACCCAGAACACCATCAGCAGCAGAATGTCCAAATCCAGAATGGCCAACTTCTCACCACTCTCGGGGAAATTTTCTTTGTTTTTTTTTTTAACGTTTTTTGTTGTTGTTCAAGTATGTTTTTCTGCCTTTCCCCCCCACCCCTCCCCACCACCAGGGAAATTTTCTACCAGAAGTGGGTTCTGCTGACTCAGAGCTCTCCTTACGGAGCCGGGTGATTCAGTGGGTTGAGCTTGGCCCCTTTCACTCTCCATCTGTCTGCTCACTGCTTGTCCCTCCACTTGGAAGGTACAATGCTGTGGGCTGTTTCCCACCTGGTCTCAGTCACAGGGGCCACCTTTGCCACCCGCATGCTGGGCACCGACAAACAGGTCCGGGCCCGTGTGTGACCAACGTGAGGCTCTGTGTTTGAAGCTGTGTGATCCGTGGGACACTGAGTGTTCACAGGGACAAGGCTGAGAGTGGTGTGTGACCCAGAGGGGACCACCTGTCACCTGAACTCACAGCCTGTCGGCCGTCTGTGATCCCATCAGTCAGGATTTCAGAAATGGCCCCAGAGGATTGCTGGGTTTAGCAACTAAAAATATAGCATGTCCCGTGTTACATTTCAAATAAACAATGAACACTTTTTCGTATAATTATGTCCCAAATGTTGCAGGGGATATACTTATGCTTAAAAAGCATTTGTCCTTTTTCTGAAATTTGAATGTAACAAAGTGCCCGGTATTTTCCGACAACTCTAACCCAGGTGCAGGAGGCCTCCAGATGCTCCTCCCGAAGGCAGAAGTGAAAGGAAACCAGCCCTCCTCACATGCTGGCTTCTTCGTGTGGCAATCAGCCTTTCAACCCTTCTGGGGCTGGCTGTCAGACGGGGCAGTGTTTGCTTATGGGATGAGCAGTTGGACGCAGAGAACCCGGATGGCTAGTTGTCACCCACCCAGCCAAAGAGACTTTTCACGATAAAAGAAATGTGTCCTTCAGTAAAAATGACGCCTTCAGGTAACTTCACCTCCATGGGAAGCCTTAGTGATGGGCCCCCCAGCCCAGCCCCTCCTGCCCCATCGGAGCAGGCGCACCCCGTGTGCGGCTGGGCCTACACTCCCTCTGTTCGCCCTCTCAGCCCCCGAACTGGAGGCGTGAGGAGGGCGGGCCCCACTGGTGTCCCTGGCTGTCGCCTCATTCCTGCATTTACAGTTTTTCCCCGACCCTATCTGCCTGAGAATCTGGGCCAATATTTAATTATTTCGGAGGGGGTGAAATTCACATAACATAAAATTAACGGTTTTAAAGCATACGATCCAGTAGCATTTAATACTTCACCATCTCGTGCAACCTGCACCTTAGTTCAGTTCCAAAGAATTTTTTAGGACCCCCGAAGAAAAGCTCCGTAACTATGAAGTGGTCAGTCCCCTGCAACTTACTTCTGATGTCCTGAAAAATCGAGGGCTTCTAACGACTATGCTGCATTCCTGAAACCCTGATACAACAATCCTGAATGTGAACGGTCATTGCAAAGTCAAAGACAAAAGTGGAGGGCTTCCCTCCGTGGGCGCCTGGCTGACATCACGGCACCCCCTCCACTGGGGTGTGGAAGGAAAGGGTTCACGGCGAAGGGGCCCCGGAGGGACGGGCACGGCGACGGGAGGAGTCTCGGGTCCACAGACGAGGGGGCACCCTCGGGCGGGGCTCACCGGGGAGAGCTGGCCGAAGCTGCCAGGCTGCGGAACAGCAGGGCAGGGGGTCACCGGCGCGGCAGGAAAGACCGTCTTGGGAAATTCCTGGGGACGAGGGGAAGGGAAGGGAAACCGAGAAGGTGCCCAATTGGGCTTCAGCTTCCGGGTTCAGAGGGAGCAAATGAATCACTGCGGGGCGGGGCCGGCTTCCCCTCGGCCACGGAGTTAGTTCCTTCTCAAAGGATCCCTCGACTCTCTCCTCTGTCCTCTCTCGTGGGACCAGCCCTCCTTATTGTGTATAAAATCCGGTGCAACTGCATTTTTGGAGACAGCTGCTACTTCCTGCAGGGAGCTGTAGCACTTTTATTATCCAGCTTGGCCCAGCCTCTTTTATTCTTTTGCTGCCCCCGACAGGGGTTTGCAGCTCACCACAAAACCGAAGCTCCCCCACTTTGAACGGAGTTGCAAGAGTTGTCCCCTTTATTCAAGAGTGGGGGGTCAGGTATTGAGCTAACACCTCCTTCTTTTTGTAAAGGGTGTAAGAAAAAGAATGAGCCAAGAGGAAGATCTTCCTGAGACAGTTCGAGCTGCCAGGGTGGCACGGAGTTTTAACAGTCACCTACTTAGCAAACACGGACGGAGTGTATGTTTGCAAGGCACTGGATTAGAAGATGCACAGGAGGGCCGCTGACCTTTAGGTAGTGCATTCTACACCCCAGGCATGCTCCAAGTGCCTCCCTGGTATACTTCACTCATTGGAGTACCGCAGACCTGTGGTTGTTGGGGGGGGCGATGAACTGCCTCAGGGTGGAGGTTGTCCACAGTGGGGTTTGTCCTGGGCCCAGGCTTTATCTGCCAGCCCAACTGTCAACAGTGAGTCAATCTGGTCTCTACACTTTCCCCATGGGCACAGGATGCAGAGGAGCTGCGGTGACAACAGCAGCGAAGTGGAGGAACAGAAAGGTGCCGATCCCTCCGTGCACGGAGCCCGTCCCGCCAGTACCTTCCCCCTCGGATGTCCCTCCCTGTGTCACTGCCATAGTCTGAGGAGTTGAAGCAGCCAGGCACTCTGTCCAGCCTGTGGACGCCTCGCTCAGCAATCGGAGAAGTAACAACATTCCAGTGGATGCCCTGAATACAACACGTGTGCTTTGGGTGTCAGGCAAATGTGTCTGAAGGCGAAAACCCCCTGGTACCAGTCACACGGCTGATGTTTCCACAAAAAGAACTGGAAGACCCTCCTGGGCCTGGCCTGGCCGGTCACCATCCATCCTGGGTTGGGGGACACAGGGTTCTGCCAATGTGATTACACTCTTTTTCAATAAGAATAATTTGTGAGGTGTCTGACTTAATGCAATTTTATTTTATACCCTTAGATGATTTCTTCCATCTTCACAAATCCATAAATTAGGAGAACGTCTTCACTGTGTCTGGCAGTGGGGAATCAGAAAATACAGTCTGTGTTTTCCCTTTCACACTGTCCTTAAATAGAGACCCCTTCAAAGTGCAGCCGTCTGAAACCACGCCTCACATTTAAACTATTCTCGAATCCTGTACACTTTACACTTTCACCTTGTTTCCTGTCTTGGATCAGGTTGTTGACAGTGTGTGCACATGTGTGCGCGTGTGTGCATGCACGTGTGTGTGTGCATGGGCACACACACACACATGATTGAAGTCTTTCAAGGAAGGGTTAAAGAGTCACCTGCAAATCAGCTTCTCTCCAACGGAGGGCATGTGGAATCACAGTGCTTAGGAGAAGTGGGATAATGAGGGGGTTGCTGGTTGTGCTGTTGCTTCCTGGGAAGCTTCAGGAAGGGCGAGGAGACTAATTGGCTGGTCTGGCAAACAATTCAAGATGAGTCCCAAAGCAGGAGCCAGATGCTGGCAGGAAGTGAATGGAAATTCACCTTTGCACTGGCCCCGCAGTGGTAGGTGCACAGATGGCAAAAAGCAGAAGCCTGAGGGCGAGAGCAAAGGCCCTTTTCTCTGTCGTCTGCCAGGAGGGGAACAAAGAGGGTTTACCGGTGCCTCCAGGGAACAGCCTTTGCTCTCATTTTAGTTTCATCGAAGGAGTTTGCCCACATTGCAACCCTGTTAGTATGAGTTTAGTGGCTTCAGAGAGTGCCTGGGCAGTGTGACTAGGAAAAGGCTATCCGTGAGGCTGCAGTGGCAGCAGAGTAGATGGAAATAATTGGCTTAAAAAACGTGGGCACCCTCTACTCTGGGATGACCTCGAGCCGTGAGGTTGTGCACGACCCAACACTAGAGGGCACCGTTGACATGTGAATGGCATGTCCTAGAGCACTGCCGAGGACAGGCTGCACAATTCTCCGCAGTCCTGACTTGTTGGAAGCCGAGCCTCCCCTTCAAGTTAATTCTGCCTGCTCAGTGGGGCTCTTCTAAGAAAAAGCACTGCAGGGGTTAGTAGCTGCTGCCCTGCACCCTCTTTCCACAAGGGATTGTTAGTATACGTTTTCCCAATATGCTTCTGTAACTTCAGGTGTATAAACCTCGTAGATTCAGATGAACTTGGTGGAAGGAAGTAGGAAGGCAGGCAACATAAATTAGTAAAATAAAGAAGTCTGAGCATACTTATAATAACCTGGTATCTTCACGTTTGAGTACACGAAGGAAATCAGAATAGGACTATAATTTTAAAAGTTCTAAATGGCTTAAATAAAATGGAAAATTTAGTATTTGCTTAACAAGTCCTAAGATGGGGCAGAAGCAAAGTTAGTTAATTCAGTGGTTCAACAATGTCAGAAAAGATCCAGGTTTCTTTTTTTGTTGTTATTAAGATTTTACTTATTTATTTTTAGAGAGGGAAGGGAGGGAGGGAGGGGGAGAGAGAGAGAGAGAGAGAGAGAGAGAGAGAGAGAGAGAGGGAAACATCAATGTGTGGGTGCTGGGGACCGTGGCCTGCAACCCAGGCATATGCCCTGACTGGGAATAGAACCTGCAATGCTTTGGTTCGCAGCCCATGCTCAATCCACTGAGCTACGCCAGCCAGGGCAAGATCCAGGTTTCTTACAGCCATCCCAGGCCATTCTCACTTAGCAGTTCTGCTTTGACCTTCTGGCCACCTCATCTCATGGTTACAAGATGGCAGCCATGGCTCCAGACCTTCCACACAAACCACACTGCAACCTTTACACAAACAGTCCTTTCCTATGTGTGTGTGTGCAGGTATGTGTGTGTGTTTTATCTGAGAGGAAAACCTTAGTCAGAAGCACTCCATGTTAGAATACAATTTATGCTGCTAGAACAAAAGACTTGAAAATATGATGGTTCTAACAACAAATAAATTTGTTTACCTTTCCTGTACCAGTCCCAATGTAAATCTTTCTATCTTGTTTCTCTGCCATTTCCTGGAGCCACACTCTTGCTTCAGGTTGGATCACCAATACCACCTTCCTTCTACAGAAAGGGGGAAAGAGGGAAAGTAAAGAGTAGCAATCACCAAGTTAAAAACATGGCCTGGAAATTAGACTAATTTTTCTCTCACATCTCATTGGCCAAAACTTAGTCACATGGTCACATCTTGCAGCTAGGGAGGCTGGGAAGTATAGTCTCTATAGTTGGGCATGTGCCCAGCTAACACTGAAGGAATGCTGCCATGTAGAAAAGAAAGGGGAAATAAGTAAGCGGAGGTAATGAACCTTTTCTGCCATGCTCCCCTAGTAGATTTCTGCTCTCATTTCATTGGCCAGAATTATTTCACCTGATGGGACCCAAACCATTTGCAGCATGACTGGCTTAGACGAGGGTTTCTCAGCCTCAGCACCACTGGCATTTGGACTAGATCACTCTTGGGGGTGGGGTGTCCTGGGCATTGTGGAATGTTTAGCAGCATTCCTGAGCTCTACCCACTGGATGTCAGCAACACACCCCTCTCCCTTGTGATGACCAAAAATGCCTCCAGACATTGCCAAACTACTCTGAGGTGGGAATCCCTGGTTTAGACCAACCAAGATTTTACCCTGGAACAGGAATAGGATGCCTGTTCCTTGATTCATAATTTAAACAGGCGGGCACAAATCAGAGCCATCCTAACAGGAGTGGTGGACGAAACAGCCTCACAGTGTCCTCTATGAACAATCATGGAATGAACGTCAAGTAACATGTTAGCAAATGGAGGTTCTAGCAAAGCATTGCTAAGTAAGTAATTTGTTTATTTACTTAAGACACATGTATATCTTAAGAGTATACCTGATACCAAAGTGTTCCAAGTATTCTAGGCTCTGGAAATATAGTAACAGCAAAGTACACCATCTCTGCCTTTATAGACTTTGCGTTTCAGCACACGGCTACCTAAGAGTCAGCTATGGAGGTTGTATTGGGTGGGAGTGAAGCATGGGAATCAGAATTAAACACTCCTGGACCCACATTTTGGTTCTGCCACTTATTAGGTATGTGACCCTGGACAAGTTACTATTAACCCTCTGACTTTCATTTTTCTTAGCTCTTAAATGAAGATAAGACTATGATCCACCTCTTAGGGTTTTTTTCTGAGGATTAAATAAAATATACTCCTTAGCTCAGCAATTGTCTCTAGATAAGTGCTAGCGGTGTTGTAGCAAAAGCACACTGGACTAGGAGTCAGAAGTTTTTCATTCAACAAATATTTTTTAGCATATTTTATGCACCCTCAGTTCTAGACACTGCGTGTTCTGGAGAGTCAGAGAACTAAGGTATACTTGGTGTCCTTAAAAAGTCCTCCAAGTTCAATATCTAGAGGGATGGCACTGGGGCGGGGTGAGGGTGAGAAAGTGACCGTAACCTGGGTATAGGTCCTGGTTTAAGCCTACAGTTTTCTTTTCAGCATTTGAATTAGCCTAGCACATCATAGGTGCCCAACAAAATGTCTCTATATAGTGAGAACAAAAATTCTGACTAGCAAAAATGTTCTGTAAAGTACAAAATCCTGTGTGAATGTCAGTGAAGTCAAGAACACCGATAATTATTCGTCAATATAATTGCCCTGGCTGGGGTGGCTCAGTGGATTGAGCACCAGCCTGCAAACCAAAGGCGTCGCTGCTTCAATTCCCAGTCAGGGCACATGCCTGGGTTCTGGGCCAGGTCCCCAGTGGGGGGCACTTGAGAGGCAACCACACATTGATGTTTCTCTCCCTCTCTCTCCCTTCCCCTCTGTCTAAAAATAAATAAATAAATACTCTTTAAAAATAATTGAATTATATGCAAATTAGAATTTTCAAATACTTGGAAGTTATTTGACTCCTTAAAAAGGCTACAGTTTTGCTTACATTATTTTCCTAATAAACCCTTTCCACTATGGACTAGAAAAGTAAACTTTAAACCAACCCATATCCAAATCATGGCAAATATGGGTAGGATCTAGATGAATGGGATTTCACCATGCAATTTATCTTGGTTTTATATTTTTGTAAAGCTATCATGTTAAATTAATTGATTTCATGTATAAAAATAGATTCAAATTTGCTTAAAACTTATTTTGGCTGAATAAATGGAAACAGAATAACAGCAAATGACAATCTAACGAATTCTAAAAATTATTGGTGGCAAAATTGTGTTTATTCTTCCAGTTTGCTGGCCATTACTTTATTCTGACTTTTATTCTTTTTTCCCAGCAAATCAAGCTGTTTCTACTTAGATTACTTCTAAATCTCCAAGTGTAGCCACGTTTAATACCAATCAGGAGGCAACTGAAAAGTCTGAGAGAAAACAGAGACCCCAAGTCTCATCCTGCAGCGGGGGAGGCCACACCAGCTGTGATCACATGCCTCCTTCCTCCAAAATGTTTCACTGAAATCTGGGAAAATAAAAAGGTAAAGTGTTTGTCGAATGCCTGAGGGCAGAGGTGGAAAAAGCAAAGGTAAGCTTTCCAGAGAACAGAATTTGGCAGGAAATTGCAGAATGAGATTTGGCTCGAAAACACAAGTTTATTTACTGAGAAGGAAACTATGAAAAGATCAAAGCACCCATCCCCCTCGCACATTCTCCCAGGTGATTCTAGGTCTGACCTGTGAGACTGGGGTAAGCAGCACTGTACTAAAACTGGAGGAACCTGTGGCATTTCCCGCGCTGCTTTGCCTAGAGCACGGGCCACTGCCCAGAGGTGCATGGCGGTGCCCAGCCTAGAGCTTTGGCCCATTAGACTGGCTTTTGCACACATGGGTAGCTGCATTGCTTTTTATACCCTGTGATCCATTTATATATGTTTTTCTACTAAAAATATCTGCTGAAACAAGCATAAGTCATAATCCCTAAGAGCATTTTTACCTATTCAAAGTGAAGTCAAACTAGAACAAGAGTTAGAGACA